ATACCTTACCTAATGGTACATAGTAGTAGAGCCTGGATTCAAGCACAGATATGTCTAACTTTAAATGTAGTCTATGACCTTAACTACTACATTCTTCTAACAATCAGAACTGTCCAGTAATGGAAGGAAGGGGCCATCTTGAGAGATAATGAGTAAATTCCTCATTATGGGAGGTATTTAATCAGGTACTGGACAAACAGTAATCTCAAAGGTCTTCTCTACCAATACAGCTCATGCTAATATCAGCAATGTCAGTGATGATTTTCTGTTTGCCAATATAATGCTTCTTATTAGTCATCCTCTTTCCATCTGCAATCGTCATCATTAACATGCTCATCATCTATAATTAGCACATACTATGTGCCAGGCATCTTTCTTTGCAGTTTTACTTATTTATTAACTTATTTACTTATTTATTAATAACAACCCTATGAAGTAGATATTATATTATTATCATCCCCATTTTATGGATGAGGAAACTGAGAAGAAAAGCGATTTGTCCAAGATCTCACAGCTAAAGACAGCGCTGAGTCTAGGTGCTGTGGCTCACGCCTGTAATCCCAGCACTTTGGGAGGCAGAGGCAGGCAGATCACAAGGTCAGAAGATCGAGACCATCCTGGCTAACACAGTGAAACCCCGTCTCTACTAAAAATACAAAAAAATTAGCCGGGTGTGTGGCGGGCACCTGTAGTCCTAGCTACTTGGGAGACTGAAGCAGGAGAATGGCGTGAACCCGGGAGGTGGAGCTTGCAGTGAGCCAAGATTGTGCCACTGCACTCCAGCCTGGGCGACAGAGCAAGACTCTGTCTCAAAAAAAAAAAAAAAAAAAAAAAAAAGACAGAGCTGGGCTTATAACCCAGGCCATCTAGCACTAGTCCGTTCCTTACCACTACATGGCACTCTCTTAATATTTGACACATATACCATACTCTTAAAATGTATCTTTTTTATCGTCACAAATAACATTTATTATAAAAATAAAAGTAAAATGACACAGAAATACATAACATAGAATTTGAAAGTCCTCCATAATCCTGTGTCCTAGAGATAAGTACTATTCTTTCACTAACTACATATTTACATATACTTATGAGTTATGCTACATATATTGCTCACTAATGTGTACTTTTCATGTTTTTAGCCCTCACAATATATATGGGATTATTCTTCCATGACACTTAAAGCTCTACATCATGCCTTTGAATGACCATATTGTACAGCAATAAACATGTGCTAGTATTTCTACTGGTAGACATTTGAGTTTTTCCCACAAATCTAAAAGACAGACATATTTATGTATGTATATGTGTATATTTATATACACATATTTATAAATACATATTTTGTGCAAGGATTTCAAAAGACAGATCTTAGAAGTGGTCTTTCAGAGTCAAAAGTTCCATGCATCTAAACATTCTATTAACTTTTCCCAACATATCCACCAAAAAGGTGCAATCAACATACAGTCTCATATAAATAGAGTATTGAGAGGGCTGAGCTCCCCATACCTTTAACATAGCTGGGTTTTACTACCTGTATTTGTCATTACCACTAAAGCGATAGGTTAAAATGGTATTTTATGTTTTGAATCCTGCCTGAGATTGGAAATCTTTGTGTGTGTGTGTGTGTGTTTATTGGTCATACGCATTTCTTCCTCTTCGAAGTGTCTCCTCATGTCTTTCGTAACAATGACACTGGCCTCTCTTTCATTGAAACTTTGTCCTCTATTTTTTTCTGACTCTCTTAATTCTTAAGGACTTTTTTAGAGACTCCTTTTCAGTTCCTCTTTCTGCATGACCCTAAATAATACAATAATGATAATTACAATAATTAGCATTTCACAGAAGCTTACTATGTGCCATACAGTAAGTAAAGCACTTAAAATGAAGTGCTGTATTTATGTGCATTTTCACAGATGAAGAAAGTAAGCCTTAGGAAGTCCCACTATAAGTGGGAAAGCTCAAATTTGAGCCCCAGCTGTTCTGCTACCAAACCACCATATACTCTGTGAAATAAGTGGAAGCATTCTCCAAAGTTCTTTCCTAAGCCTTCTTGTTTCACATGTATGTATTCCATGGGTTATCTTACCCATTCCATTAGCTTCAGAATCATTTCTTTGAGCTCTTGGCCCATACAGCCAACAACTTAACAGCTGTTGCCAAGTGGATGTATTGTGGGTACTGCAAACATATCCAAAGTGGAAACCATCTTCCCTCAGGCACCCTAGACATCCTCCAAGATTATTCCTCTTGCCAATACTATTTAATAACATTGCCATTCACCCAGTTGCCCAAGCTAGAAACTTCAACACTACCTTTGATTCCTGCCTCTATTAAACCTCACATCTGACTGGTCCTATGGTCTCTCAATACAGACTCCATATAGCTTCTCGATCTATCCTCTACACATTCTTCCTACTACGGCTTTAGGTAATTAAAGGTCTAAACATCTCTCCCTTGGACTATCGGATCTACCTCCTAACTGCTCTCCCCACTTCTCCCTAGGTACCATCTATCCTTCTCATTGCTGCCAGAGGTAATGTTTTAAAGCCAATAATTGATCGTGTCATATCCTGCCCAAAACTCTTTGATGGTTGCTTTCTGTCTACTAAATAAATCCTAAAGGCCTTAGCACAGCACATAAAAATTCCATAATCTTGCCCCAGTCTGTCTTTCCAAACTCATGTCCAGCACGTCCCTCCTCAAGTACCTTAAACTACAACCACTCGAGGTCACTTGCTTTTCCTCCGTGATATCGGGTATCTACGCCACTATGCTTCTGTTCATGCAACTTGGAATACTCTCCTCTGGCTTCTTGTCTACCTGCTTATGTCTACTTTTCTTCAAAGACCCTGCAACCCAGCCCCCAACCTATGCAGAGTTTCCACTCACATTTCTAGCCTCATGATGTATTACTTGCCCTTTTCCTTTACATTTCTATTAAAGACTTAATACAGACTAACTTTCATATCAGGGACTCTATCTTAAACATATTAGTATTTCTAGTGCTTAAATGAGCTAGATATGTAAATGATTACAACTGAAGCACATTTGTGATTTAGGTAAAAGTTAGACTAAACAACCAAAAAGTTTATTTCCAAATCCAAGATTTTCTATGCCCTTTCTGTATACCAAAATTTTATTTGAGACCCTTGCAACTATCATTTAACCTTGAAATTAACTCTGATTTCAAGGGGCCATTTCTACTTTAGCTTTTTTGCACAGGCTTCAGAAGCCAAGAATTCGGGCTCCTAGCAATGGAAGTCCAATGAGTGTAGTCAACGAGTTTCCGGAAGAGGTGAGGTAAGAAGCAGGAGAGTATATCGGAAAACTAGCAGAGTTCCAGGACATCTGGGATTGATTACTCCAGTGAGATGCCGAAGTCTGCAAAGAGAGCAATCCTTGTACTGGGTTTTGACATCTGGCTTTGGCAGTTTCCCCCATGGTTTTGCTCAGCAGTTCTTGAGGAATGAGATATGGGCTTGTTTTAGGGAAAGAAAAACCTTCTGCTACAGCAAAGTCCTTCAAAAGACACTTCTTTTCCCCTTATATGGACTTTCTTGGTAGGTTTGGTTTCATTGTAATTTACAGAAAGAAAAATTAATTTCCAAGTACCTAAAGAAACTCATACCACCTAGGGTCTGAATTAGATCTCCTAATTTTTCCTCCTTCTATGAATCATTTCAGATCACCTAAAAGACACAGTAAATACTGGAAGGCAAAGCAATCTCAGGCTACCAAAGAATGAGATTCCAGATATTCTAAGTGTCTCTTTTTAAATACAAGCTGAGTAGAACTTCTGTTCAGTTTTGGGGAAACATCATGCATTTTTTTCTCCGAAATTATACATTTTGTTCTTTTGGTTTCATTATTATTACCTTCAAAGCACAAAATCTACTTTAGATATATTCAAAGATTCAAAATCTCAAAACTAACCTATGGTATTAGTGGCTAACAATTATCCCTGATTTCAAATATTCTGAACTGTTGCCCTGAAAGCAAAAGGCAGTCTTCTGTGAAGAAGGGGAAGGAAGGGTGTTTTACGAACATTTATTGAGTGCATGCTCTGCCAGGCACTGTACTATGCATGTTATAGACATGATTTTATTTAAAACACCAACAGGCAGGGAGCAAAGTTTTCCATTTTGCCCTGTGGCTGCTCCTCTATATCCTCCTAACAGGAATTATTGACAGAGGCTGGAGAACGTCCTCCTCTGGGTAATGATAAAACAGGAGATAGCCTCCTGTGGGGCCCACCTCAGGTGTGGCTCTGAGTGAAGTGGGTGTGGAGAGGAGGGCTCAATGTATTCTCCATGGCATGACCTTCCCCACCTGTCTAGCCTGGTGAACCTGGTGAGAAGGGGACCGATTATCAGCCACCACTGGTGAACACATGCGGGGTCCTAACTCTCAGCAACAATGCACCTCTGTTAGAGGGCTCTCAGGGAAAAGCACATGGCCTTAGAGTCACACTTATTTGAGTCCAAATCTCCAAGACTGAGTGAATTTAGGCAAATTCCATTATAAAACATCAAGCTCCCTTCTGTTAAATGAGAGCTATCATACCGGGTATTTGTGAGGATTAAATTAAATACTTTATAAATAGGACCTAGCTCAGTTTTATGAATTTGGTATAAACTCAACAAGTTTTTGTTCTCTTCCCTCTTAGAACAGTTCAAGGTCAGTACTATTCTGAGATGAACAAATGTCAATGATATGCGTCATTGATAACGTCAAGGTTAAAGACTGAGGCAAGTCTATACAAAACTCTCTTTGACTTAAATTCTAAACATCTATAAAAAGAATCCAAAGAGGCTCTGTCATTATTAACTTTGGAGACTGTATCCTAAAAACTTGCCTTATGTTTAGGGACCTAGACTTTGTATGTTCAGCAAGAAAAATTATTTTAAGGTACTCATTTACTTTCTCTGAATCCATATGATACCTATCATACTGTGATCAGCTACAACCTTGTCTTGCAGGGCTTTTCTATAATGCTCAGCATTGAAAGGGGTATTATAAATACTAAATATTATTGCAGCAGACCCTATAACACTGGGGTCTATAAGACTGTAAGAAATCAACTAATTTTCCCAAGTATAGGATTTGCCCAAATTCATACACAGGTAGGATTTTGCCTTACTAGCAAGAATGAAAGAGGTGAATCACCCCTACCTGGTTGAATTGGGAGAGGCCATGCCATGCATATATACACATTGATGACATGGCTGATGGCCAGGGCCAGAACTCACCTCTGCAACAGAGTAAGGAGGCTCTTTGTCTCCCTGCTTTTACTGTGTTCACCTCCATATACAAGGATTTGAATCATCAGACACTAGGTGAGGTGAGAAACAACAGGTTAAAGAGAATCAGATAGCAAGTACCTTAATTGCAAACCAAACTCAGGAAAGGACCAGCGGAACTGAGATCTTGTCACAAGTTTACATGTCAAATACCTGCACTACATTTCATTTGTTTCCTAAGCTGATAACAAAGATGTAGCCTCTACCTAGGCTTATGGCATCCTAAATTTCCAAGTTAAATCCCTATTACAAATGGAGGATGTAGTCATGCTGTCTTAGTCCATTTCGTGTCTGGTGAGGGCCCACTTCCTGATTCATTGACAGCCATCTTTGCTGTAAACTCACATGGTGGAAAGGGGCAAGGAAGCTCTTTGAGGTCTCTTTTCAAAGGGCACTAATCCCATTCATGAAGACTCCACTCCTGAGTCCTAGTCACCTTCTAAAGGTCCTGTCTCCAGATAAAACCACAGCGAATATTAGGTTTCAACATATGAATTTTCAAGGGACACAAGCATTCCATCTATTGCATATGCCATCAAAAATTCATTGCCAGGTAAAAATCTATATGAGGCTCTCCTTACACTGATTTTGTGTGGAACATGGTAAATCCTTACAATGTATGTGCTGTGGTCTTTTTTTATTTCAGAACATTTGTCTTCAATGACATCTCTGATTACTGCTTCTATTCCAATCATAATTTCTTCAGAAATACATACAATTCTTTGGCTGAATCTCTACTTTGTCCTGCATACCAATTACTTTCTCATGAGATCCCTCTCTTCTTTCACTCTGCATTCTAAGAGAGCTTTTCAAGTTTGTTATATCAATCTTGATTCTTAAAATTGGCAGGATATTAAAACTGCCTCTAGAACTATTAAAAAAAAAGATTCTGTACACTACCCGTAAAACTTCTAATTCAGATGGTCTGGGGTGAGACTCAGGAATTTGTTTTTGCTTGTTTTGTTTTGTTTCTTACTGACTGTGCTGCAATTCTAGATTTGAGAAACAATACTCCAGTATCACTCCATGTTAAGCGTCTTCGTTATTTTCAATGTGGATTTGAATTTTATTAGACTTGTTTCCCTGGAACCCCTTCTCATTTCACTCATCATTTTTCATTTCATCTCATTTCTTATCCTCAGATTGTCATCCTTTCATTTCAAAGTTTTCTCTCCTTTCAGGCTTCTACCCCTATTACCCAGATGCCATCCGTATGTTCATGCTTCCCTGGAAAAGCTATTCTGACTCCTATCACTTACTTTCAGGAGGCTTTCTTTTTCCCTGAATCTTCAAAGTGAGTTCCCCTTTCTTCTGTTATTTACTATTTTCTGATCACATTAGGTTACCCTGAAATGAGATGAAAATCCCGGCAAACCTGATGTAGACTGCTTCTGCCTCCACCCTCTGCTCACTTGAGTATTACTTGATCTTTACCAACTTTTCCTCTGACTTTGAAAAAACTTAGGTTTTATTTAGAGACATTGCCACCTATTTTACTAAGCCTTCAGATTCATTCTGTCAGTATACTGACTGGTTGAACACCTTTTGCCACACCCCACTGCAAGGGAACGAGCTCTCTGGAAGGGGAATGAGGACTTGGGTACGGATGGTTAAACAAGGTATTACTAATTCCACCCAACCTTGAAGTGCTTTCCAGAGATTCTGCCACTATCATACTTGGATTCCAAGATGAGGGTGTTACTCTTTTAAGACTCTTGTCCAGACATGGACTCAATAAAAGTTTCTGTGTCATAATCTCCCTCAGCACATCTAAGAAAGCAGACAATTTTCAAAAGATAACACATCACTTAAAAAAAAGAAAAGGAGAGAGGGAATAAAATGGAAGAGAAGGGAAAATACATATATACATGCATGCATATGTACATACATCCCTCCTCACATCCTGCTTACAAGCCCGGGGGAAAATGTAACAAAACCAGTCAATAGTCACCTTTGTCAGGAGCTGAATTGCCTTTCTGGGCTCTCCTTTGGCAAAGCAGATCCTGCCCATGTTATACAAAGTTTCAGCCACATTTTTGCTATAGTCACTGTAGCCGAATACCTGGGAGTTTAACGAAGCCTTTAGCAGTCTGTAAGCCTCCTAAGGGATAAAACGTTCTTAAAAAAAAAAAAAAAATCAGCCTGGCAATTCTGAAGGAGCATGCTGGTTCTGTTCCCTGAGCTCTATGGAGAAGGCATTGTACCCAATGATGACATAACCCAGCAGGATCAGTCCGCTGTGATGTGCCACCTAAGTACTTTGTATTAAGAATTAAAGTTCCAAGCTTGTAATTAATAATAGTTAATTCATATGATACTATTTAATCTTCATGGCTGCCCTACAAGAGAGGAACTGTTATTATACTCATTTTACAGATGAAGGAATGGAAACTAATAACAGCTAAGGATCTTGCCCCAGATCATACAGCCTATGATTGGCAGTGGCAGAATTCCAACACCAGGCAGTCTGAATTCCACCGCCCTCACTCTTTTTTTGTTCACCTATTTTTTATTTCAAATTTTTCAAACCTTCAGAAAAGCTAAAAGAATAGTAAAATACCCATACAGTTTTCACCTAGATTCACACATTGCTACAGTTTTGCCACATTTGCTTTATTGTTTTCTCTTCTTAAAAAATAATGTGTCTCTCTATCTATATATACATGCATACACACATATATTTTTGTTGAAAATAAGTTGTAGTAATCAAGATACTTTACCCCTAAATGCTTTTTGTTTTGTTTTGTTTTGTTTTGTTTTTAAAGAGACAGAGCCTCACTCTGTTGCTCAGGCTGGAGTGCAGGGGTGTGATCACAGCTCACGCAGCCTCGACCTCCCAAGCTCAAACGATCCTCCACTTCAGCCTGTCAAGTAGCTGGGACTACAGTTGGGCACCACTCTGCTCAGCTTATTTATTTATTTATTTATTATAGAGATAGGGTCCCACTATGTTTCCCAGGTTGGTCATGAACTCCTGGGCTCAAGTGATCCTCCAACCCTGGCCTCCCAAATTACTGGAATTACAGACAGGCATGAGCCATCGCACGTGGCAACCACTAAATACTTAAGCATGTGTCTTCTTAGAACAAGAACACTTTCCTACATATCTACAATAACATTATCGTTCAATAAATCTTACATCAGTACAACAGTGTTTCCTAATATATGCTCCATGTTCAAATTTCCCAATTTTTCCAATAATGTTCTTTACACCTCATTAAAATCTAGCATCTAATCATCATGTATTGCGTTGAGTTCTCATGATTCTTTAATCTGTTACAGTTCTCCTGCCCTTGTGGTCTTTCATAACATTGACATTTTTGAAATGTCTAGGCCAGTTGTCTTTCAGCAAAGCTCTGTTAACTACTTACTATACAGCAAAAATAAATTAAGTATACACTGGAAATCATTCACAGGACAACAGTGCTTGTACTCATTTGCCTTCCCAATGTGCTTTCTTTAGGGAAGGTGAAGAGGTATTATTGCTGGCTCCCTCAAGAACTGCACATCACCCACTCACTGCCTGAATTATCTATGTTGACAGGTGCAACAGAATATTTCTTCAGAATTGGGTTGAACATGTAATCATCATCCCTAATGTGGCATGTCAGAACAAAAAACATAAAAGGGATGTCAATTGCTGCTTTCCAGAAAACACTGCCAATAAATCAGGAATCTCAAGGCTACTACTGTAATATTTTTGCATTTTTTAGAGTAGGAAAGCATGCATATAATTTATTATTTTCCTGTTTATTTTTTTCAGTGTCTGTCTTTCACCTCCTTGGTTAAGTTTATTCCTAAGTATTTTATTCTTTTTGATGCTATTGTAAATGGGATTGGTTTTCTTACTTTCTTTTTCAAATTGTTCAATGTTAGTATATAAAAATGCAACTTTTTGTTTGTTTGTTTGTTTTTTGTTTTTTTTTTGAGACGGAGTCTCACTCTGTTGCCCAGGCTGGAGTGCAGTGGCCGGATCTCAGCTCACTGTAAGATCTGCCTCCCGGGTTTACGCCATTCTCCTGCCTCAGCCTCCCGAGTAGCTGGGACTACAGGCACCCGCCACCTCACCCGGCTAGTTTTTTTTTGTATTTTTTAGTACAGACGGGGTTTCACTGTGTTAGCCAGGATGGTCTCGATCTCCTGACCTGTGATCCGCCCGTCTCAGCCTCCCAAAGTGCTGGGATTACGGGCTTGAGCCACTGTGCCCGGCCGTGAAACTGATTTTTGTATGCTGCTTTTGTTTCCTATAATTTAGTTGAATTTATTAGTTCAAACAGGTTTTGTGTGTGTGTGTGTGTGTGTGTGTGTGAGATCATTAGGGTTTTCTACATAACATCATGTCATTCTGCGAACAGAAATAATTTTACTTCTGTTCATATTTGGATGTTTTTTATTTAGCTTTCCTGCCTAACTGCTCTGGCTAGTACCTCCAGTACTATGCTGAATAGAAGTGGTGAAAGTGGGCATCCTTCTTTTGTTCCTGATCTTAAAGGAACAGCTTTCAGTTTTTCACCATTAAGTATGGTATTAGCTGTAGGCTTTGCATACATGTATGGACTTTATTATCTTGAGGTAATTTCCTTCTGTTCTTTGTTTGTTGGCAGTTTTTTTTTTTTTTGTTATCATGAAAAGGTATTGAATTTTGTCCAGTGCTTTTTCTGGATCTCAGTGTATCATCTGATTTTTATCCTTCATTCTGTTAAGACAGTATATCTCATTGATTGATTTTCGTATGCCAAACCATTCTTACATCCCAGGGATAAATCCCACTTGGTGATGGCATATGACTCTTTTAATATGCTGTTAAATTTGGTTTGCTAGTGTTTTGTTGAAAATTTTTGCATCTATATGCCTCAGGGATATGGACCTGTAGTGTTCTTATAGTGTCTTTTTATGGCATTGATGACAAACTCATTCTCTGTTTTTTGTTTTCTTTGTTTGTTTTTTGAGACAGGGTCCCTGTCACCCAAGTTGGAGTGCAGTGGCGTGATCACAACTCACTGCAGCCTCAACCTTCCAGGCTCAAGTGATCTTCCTGCCTCAGCCTCCCATGTAGCTGGGACCACAGGTATGCACCACTGCTCCTGGCTAATTCTTTAATTTTTTTAGAGATGAGGGTCTCACTTTGTTGCCCAGGCTGGTCTCAAACCCCTAGGCTCAAGCAATCCTCCTGCCTCGGCCTCCCAAAGTGCTGGGATTACAGGTGTGAGTCTCCATGCCCAGTCATGATTGTCATTTTGATGAATTACTAGAAGAAGGTGGTTCCAGATGAATGAGTTTTATTTTTTATCCATGGCAGATTAAACTACTTACCAAAATATATATGTGTGTGCATGTGTATGTGTCTGTGTATTCCATGGGAACGATTCCCAAATCTTGTGAGTTTCTGTTATGGTCCTCTAGGACAGGCCTAGAGCCTCACATGAAGCTTGGAGGCAGGGGAATGAGCTACTTTTAAATATGGGAAATGTGTCATAAAATTCAGCAGTTTCATTCAAAAGTTACCAGGCATCTTCGATGTGCCAGTTAGTGTTTCAGGCATTGAGGACACTGCAGTGAACAAAACAAACAAAACTTCCTGCCCTCATGGCACTTGCTTCCTAATGGTAAAGCTGACCTGTCCATAGTCCTGCCTATGGTTTAGATTTGGAGCCACCTGGCACTCAGGTCCTTTGGTAGCTTTGTCCAGGAGCTTGGTATACTAGAAAGTACTTGGTTAGAAGCAGAGGATTATCAGGCATTGGTACTGGTGGTGGTACTGGTGGTTTATCACAACCAAGGTCATGGTATTCACTGCACCAGACTATAACAGGGATAAGCTATTAAATTCTGGCAAAGTATTTTCACATCTTTGAAAATAAAATTAATTATTAGATCAACCCATGGCATTGGGATCTCACATTAATCTTCTGAACTGGCCAGGTGTGGTGGCTCACGCCTGTAATCTTAGCATTTTGGAAGGCCAAGGCAGGTGGGTCACTTGAGGTAGGAGTTCAAGACCAGTCTGACCAACAGGATTAAACCCCGTTTCTACAAAAAATACAAAAATTAGCTGGGTGTGGTGGTGGGCGCCTGTAATCCCAGCTATTCCGGGAGGCTGAGGCACAAAAATCGCTTGAACTTGAGAGGCAGAGGTTGCAGTGAGCTGGATCGTGCCACTGCACTCCAGCCTGGGCAACAGAGTGACTCTGTCTCAAAAAAAAAAAAAAAAAAAAAATCTTCTAAACCAACAGAAAATATCATGGCCACAGAAAAAAAAGGTTACAAATCATTATAAGGTTTTTGTCTTTACAAATGGCAATTAAAATTGAAATAACGAAAATGTCACCATTTATAAAAATGTCTAGATAAGATATAAAAAACTTTTTTTCATTCCTGGAATAAATTTTTACTTACTATGTGCCTATAACTCTACTCTTATACTGGTTTTTACATGGCCAATAAGACCATGTCAAATCTATCCATATTTCTCACTCGCCTGAGGAAGTATAAAGTTGGCTTGGTCAGATCAAAGTCATGTGGGATCTTATGACAGACAAAGGTCTTCGCTGTGTTCACGCTGCACTGAATATACAAAGTTCAAGTCAAAAGGTTTTGAATGATAGCTTAGACTCATGGGACTTCTAAGGAAAAAGGTCAGCAATAACAATTATTTTCTATAACTTTTTAAAATGTGAAAACAAAATTGCTGCTAATAAAAACCTATCAGATCAAGAGAAAACCACTACCGCAAAAGAAAAGAACTAGTAGCTAGATCCAAAGATGGAAGCCAATTTTGACTTAAAATATTAAATACAAAGCCAGAGATTACATGTGTCCTGGATCTGAAGGATCTCATGTATCAAGATACAATAAAAATATTTTTTTACTAATATTCCAAGCCACCTAAGCCCTGTGTATTATTCCTAGTTTTATTTTATTTTATTTTTCTCCAAACAAAACAGGCTTTATTTAGATCACCAAAAATAACATTTTACAGAAAGGGCACCATAATATTACACAACAAAGTATAGCTGTAAAATTTCAAACAAGAAAGGCAAGGCTGGCAGGACATGGTGGCTCACTCCTGTAATCCCAGCACTGTGGAGGCCGAGGCGAGTGGATCACCTGAGGTCAGGAGTTCAAGACCAGACTGGTCAACATGGCGAAATCCCATCTCTACTAAAAACACAAAAATTAGCTGGACATGGTGGCGCACACCTGTAATCCCAGCTACTTGGAAGGCTGAGGCAGGCAAATCTCTTGAACTCAAGAGGCGGAGGTTGCAGTGGGCCGAGATCACCCCAGTACACTACAGCCTGGGTGACAGAGAGAGACCCTATCTCAAAAAAAAAGTTTATCAGAGAGGGAACCGTTAGAAGCAAACGTGTAGCTGCGAATTTTCTTTTGCCATCAATATCGAGTCCCTCTAAAATACTTTGACCCTACTTTGCGGTTTCCAAGTACAAACTAAACCTTGTTGGACAGAGTTGCTCAGTTTCATCAAAAGAATGAAACCAATTTGCAAAAAAAAAAAAAAAAATTGATTAATGCTAACAAATAATGAAACAATGTGTTTCTTGCCTAGTTTTATCTGGGACCTATCTGATCTCCAGTATCTGAACTGTAAGATGAAAAATGCTATTGTGATCTAATAAACAAACTAGCAATTCTGTTTATGCATTGATCATATTTACCTGTTTTTCTCCATTTTGGACAAGCCATTTGCAAAATTCTTCAGTGGTGCTCAGTGTTTCAAAATCCTCTGAGCCCAATGTTGCTCGATATGCATTGATACTTTTTATGAAATATGTCTCAACAGCATCTGGAAAAATGGAAACAATTATTTAAGGCAAGCTGCTAACTTTTACAAATGTCTAATATCAGCTTTGGCTCAACTGACATTTTCATGCTTAAAGTCCATGCTTGTTCTCAAGCCAGGTCTCATAAGGACTCTTTAAAAGTCTAAGATGTTTTTTGTTTGTTTGTTTGTTTGTTTGTTTCAGATGGAGTCTCACTCTGTTGCCAGGCTGGAGTGCAGTGGTGCAACCTGGCTCACTGCAACTGCTGCCTCCTGGGTTCAAGCGATTCTCCTGTCTCAGCCTCCTGAGTAGCTGGAACTACAGGTGCATGCCACCACGCCCAGCTAATTTTTGTATTTTTAGTAGAGATGGGGTTTCACCACATTGGCCAGGACAGTCTCAATCTCTTGACCTCATGATCCGCCCACCTCGTCCTCCCAAAGTGCTGGGATCACAGGCGTGAGCCACCGCGCCCGGCCCTAAAATGTGATTTAATGGCATCAGATGATGTTTTGGTTTTTATTCTCCTTATAAAATCCATGGAATTTTTTGTAGCAAAAAAGAAAGCTTCTGTCTGAATAGGCCTAATATGCTAATATTACAAATAACTACCGTATTCAACTCCCAGGTATATTGCAAGACTATATTTTTAGCTAAATAAAACTCTGATAGTGAGTGATGTTTACTGAAGTTCCTGTCTGGGGGGTTGGGAGGGAGTAAGTTGTGATTTTATAAGTATTTTAAATATATAGTTGTTATGGCTTGAAAATTTAATTTTAATGCTGTGTCTTTCCAAACATAACACATGTTTATATCAATCTAGAAAATACATAGAAACAATGGGAAAATTTTGCCAATACCATACTTTTCTTGTGTGTAAACTTATGGATTGTACAAGTACAATTCTGTAACATGTATAAATTGCATAGTAGTCACAGCTTTTAGGGTATCCATCACCCAAATAACGTACATTGTACTCATTAATTTCTCATCATCCACCCCCCATCACACTCTTATGAGTCTCCATTATCTATCACTGCATGAAGCCCATGTGCACACATGTTTTAGCACCCATTTATGAGTGAGAACCTTGATACTTGACTCTCTGTGTCTGGCTTGTTTCACTTAAGATAATGACTTTCAGTTCCATCCATTTTGCTGCGAAAGACATGATTTCATTCTTTTATGACTGAATAGTATTCTATTGTGTATTTATACCATATTTTCTTTATCCAATCATCCCCTGATGAATACTTAGATTTATTCTGTTATCTTTGCTATTGTGAATAGTGCTGCGATAAACATACAAGTGCAGGAATCTTATTGATACATACCTTTCTTTTCTTTTGGGTAGATGCCTAATAGTGGGATTCCTGGATCAAATGGTTGTTCTATTTTTAGTTCTTTGAGAAATCTCCATATTGTTTTCCATAGAGGTTGTACTAATTTACATTCCCACCAACAGTGTATGAGAGTTCCCTTTTCTTTGCACCCTCACCAACATCTGTTTTTTGTTGTTTTGTCTTTTTCATAATAGCCACTGTGACTAGGGTAAGATGATTCCTCATCTATACTGTCTTGATTGCTGTGGTTTTTTTAGTAAGTCTTGAAGTTGGGTAGTGTCAGTCCTCCAACTTTGTTCTTCATCGTTTTTAGTTATTCTGGCCTCTCCATGTAAACTTCAGAATCAATTTGCTAATATCCAAAAAATAACTTGCTGAGATTATTATTGGAATTGAGTTGAATCGATAAATAAAGTTGGAAGAACTGACATCTTGACTACTGAGTCTTCTTATCTATGAACATGGAATAGATATTAAATAAAGATATCTCAGTTTACTTTAGTTCTTTGATTTCTGTTTTTTTCTTTTTGAGATGGGGCTCACTGTGTTGTCCAGGCTGGTCTCAAGCTCCTGATCTCAAGCAATTCTCCTACCTCAGCCTCCCAAGTAGCTAGGACTACAGGAACACACCACAATACCTGGCTAGTTCTTTTGATTTCTTGCATCAGCGTTTTGTTGTTTTCCTCACATATATTTCACAAATATTTTGCTAATTTATACCTAATTATTTCATTTCTTGGAGTGCTAATGTCAATGGTATTGTTTTAGATCTTAAATTTTACTTATTCATTGTTGGTATATAGGAAAGTATTGACTTCTGCATATTAAACTAGTATCCTGAATCTTTTCTATAATCACTTATTAATTCCAGATTTTTTGTTGATTCTTTCAAATTTTCTAATCAATCTCATCTGCAAATAAAAAGTTATATTTCTTCCTTCACAAATATTATAGTATAGTTTTTATTTCATTTTCTTCTCTTATTCTATTAGCTAGGTCTTCCATTATGATGCTGAAAAGGAGTGGTGAGAGGAAACTGCCTTGTTCCCAGTCTTAATAGAAAAGCTTCTAGTTTTTCACCATTAAGAATAATGGTGTTGACCAGGCACAGTGGATCACACCTGTAATCCCAGCACTTTGGGAGGCTGAGGTGGGTGGATAACCTGAAGTCAGGAGTTTGAGACCAGCCTGGCCAACATGGCGAAACCCCATCTCTACTAAAAATACAAAAATTAGCCAGGCATGGTGGGGGGTGCCTGTAATCCCAGCTACTCAGGAAGCTGAGGCAGGAGAATCACTTGAACCCAGAAGGCAGAGGTTGCAGTGAGCTGAGATCACACCATTGCACTCCAGCCTGAGTGACAAAAGTGAAACTCTGTCTCAAAAAAAAAAAAGAACAATGGTGTTAGCTGCAGGTTTTTTTGTAGATGTGACTTATCAGGCTGAGGAAATCCCCCTGTATTCCTAGTTTGCTGAGAGTTTTTATCATAAATGAGTGTTGGATTCTTCCAAATGCTCTTTCTGCATCTATTGATATGATCATGCAATTTTTCTTCTTTAGCCTGTTGGTGTGATGCATTGATTGATTTTCAAATGCTGGACTGGCCTTGCATACCTGGGATAAATCCCAATTGGCTGTAGTGTATAATTCGTTTTACGCATTGATGGATTCAACTTGCTAATGTTTTGTTAAGGATTTTTGCCTCTATGTTCATGAGATGTATTGATCTGCAGTTTTCTTTTTTTTTTTTTTAATCTTGATAATCTTTTAAAATTATACTTTAAGTTCTGGGGTACATGTGCAGAATGTGCAGGTTTGTTACTAGGTATACACGTGCCATGGTGGTTTGCCGCACCCATCAATCCATCACTTTACATTAGGTATTTCTCCTAATGCTATCCCTCCCCCAGCCCCTGACAGGCCCCGATGTGTGATGTTCCCCTCCCTGCATTCATGTGTTCTCATTGATCTATAGTTTTCTTTTAATATCTTTGTCTAATTTTGGAATTAGGGTAATGCTGGCTTCATAGATTGACTTAAAAACAGTTACTCTGCTTCTATCTTTTGGAAGAGATTGTCAAGAATTTGTTATATGTTTGGTAGAATTCACCAGTGAACCCACATGGGATGATTATTAATTATTGATTCAATTTCTTTAATAGAAATGGATCTGTTCAAATGGCTTAGTTTTTCTTATGTGAGTTTTGGCAGATTGTATCTTTCATGAGAGATTGACCTATTTCATCTAGGTTATTGAATTTGTGAGCCTAGAGTTTTTCATAATATTCCTTTATTGTCCTATTAATGTCCATTGGATCTGTAGTGATGTCTCCTGTTTCATTTCTCGTAATAGTAATTTGTGTCCTGTCTTTTTTCCTCAGCCTGGCTAGAGGTTTATCAATTTCATTGATCTAGTCAAAGAATCAACTTTCAGTTTTGTTTTCTTCATTGACTTCCTGTTTTTAATTTCATTGATTTCTACTGTAACTTTTATTACTTTTTTCTTACTTTGGAATTAATTTGCTCTTCTTTTTCTAGCTTCCTGAGGCAGAAACTTAGATTATTCATTTTAGATCTCTTTTCTAATATACAAATTCAATGCTACAAATATCCCTCTAAGCACTACTTTTGCTGCATCCCACAAATTTTACATTGTTTTCATTTTCAAAAAAAAATCTTAATTCAAAACATTTTAAAGTTTCTCTTGAGATTTCTTTTTATCCCACACATATGTGGGATATGTGTTGTTTAATCTCCAAGTATTTTGGGATTTTCCAGGTATCTTTCTGTTACTGGTTTCTAGTTTAATTCCACTGTGGTCTGAGAGCAGACATTGTACATTTTCTATTCTTCTAAATTTGTCAGGGTGTGTTTCATGGCCCAGAATGTGGTCTATCATGGTGAATGTTCCATGTGAGCTTGGGAAGAATGTGCACTCTGCTATCGTTTGGATAGAGTAGTCAATAGATGCTAATTGTATTAAGTTGATTGATGGTACCGTTGAATTTGATGATGTCCTTACTGATTTTCTGCCTGTGTGTTTGTCCATTTCTGATACAAGGGTATGATGGTTAATACTGAGTGTCTTGATTGGACGGAAGGATGCAAAGTATTGATCCTGGTTGTGTCTGTGGAGGTGTTGCCAAAGGAGATTAACATTAGAGTCAGTGGGCTGGGAGAGGCAGACCCACCCTTAATCTGGGTGGGTACAATCTAATCAGTTGCCACTGTGGCTAGGATAAAAGCAAGCAGGAGAATGTGAAAAGATTAGACTGGCTTAGCCTCCCAGCCTACATTTTTCTCCCATGCTGGATGCCTACCCTCAAACATCAGACTTTGGGACTTGGACTGGCTTCCTTGCTCCTTAGCTTGCAGATGGTCTATTGTGGGACCTTGTGATCCTGTGAGTTTAATACTCCTTACTAAACTCCCCTTTATATATACATATCTATCCTATTAGTTCTGTCCCTCTAGAGAACCCTAATACAAGGGGTGTTGAAGAGTACAACTATGATAGTGAATTCATCTATTTCTTCTTACAGTTCCATCATTTTTTCCTGAAATATTTTGAAACCCTTGTTAGGCATGTACACATTAAGGACTGTATGTCTTCTTGGAGAACTGACCCCTTTATCATATGTAATGCCCCTCTTTATCCCTGATAACTTTCCTTGCACTA